ATATTAGCAAATTTTGCAAAGTTTGACGAAAGAAATAATGTATAATATGAATCAAATTAACAATATGAATCAAGTTAACATGAAGTATGGAATTTAATGGACGACTGTTCTGTGTTATATAAATGTAATACTATGTATTATTTCGAGTAACTTGTTTTAAATACTTTGATTACAAATTAATCTTTACTGTATATCAAATTAATGTGAATTAAAGTTATATTTAATGATTGAATGGAGCCAAAAGAAACTTATAGAATGAACAAAATTGTAAAATTTTCAAATATAACTCGCAGGTGTGTTATTTTCGGAGTCTAACTTGGCAAATCAAAAAAATCTTAATCTCAAAATAACGTACAGTACATATGTATTCGAAGTAGCGCATATATTCAAAATAATGTGCAGATGGACACAATGTTGTACACAAGATAAGTTGAAACGAAGTTGGATATTGGAAAATTTTACCAATACAGCCGAGTTTAGTCAAGTATTTATGATATTTTTGGTATAGCTTTATAATTATATACTATACATAAACTTAAATCTCTTAATGCACAGTAACTGCATAGTAACTATGTATATAGTTATGATTAAATTTAATATATAGTATATATATATGTAATTATGTAATTACTAAGTCGTCATTATGCAGTTACTGTATATTAAGATATATATATTTTAAGTTTCTGTAAAGTAAACAAAAGTTGATCAAATTAAAAAGCTCAAGACGGTCAAAATGCACGATATTTAGTATGGAATAATTCTTAGTTCTAATATAAGTAGTATAATGCAGTGTTTCTCTAAATCCAGGCATTATACATCTATCATGCATAACTTTTAATGATTACAAAACGCTTAAAGATGGATACTTTCTTGACATACCATGTCCGATTACTGCATATTATTATTATTATTATTATTATTATTATTAAAAATACAGTAAGTTACTATATTTAAATTGAATAAGGTTCAATATTTGGATGACATTAACCTAAATCTGTTCAGATCTTAACGGTTTGAGGCCCCTCATTTCTCTTTATTCCTGTATTCGTTTCAATCAAAAGTTTGACAAGCTTAAACTTGGGCTTGGTAAGCCAAAAAAGGGTTTTGATATAGAAAATTATTTTAGTTATTTTAGTTACGGTGTACAATAATTGCGTACGTACCAAAACAACAAATATTTGATATGTTATGTAATCACAAACTCATTAACGTTAAAAAAAAATATCGTAATTAGATGATTTTCTGTTAATAAAATGTTGCTTTCGTTGGAAGAGTGAAATGCATTAGGGGGTATTAAAGGGGTTAAATGCTGTATATAGATTTGTGTCAATAGTAAACAGGGAAAATATAAGAGCATTTTGTTATTAAGTTCTTATAAAGAGATTAGGAGGTATTACCCTGCAGCTTAATTATATAATAATACTTCAATTTTGAGGACTATACATGTTATTCCGTGTTCATACATCAATCTATTTACTGTAAGTTCAGATGTTACTATTTAATTATGCACAATTACGATGATAATGATGATATGAAAAGTACCCGCTCAGGTTGGCGCAGATGCGCAGAACTTTAATTTATGTAACTACCGGTATGAGGATACATACATATACGAGTTAGTTTTGGTTGTTGATGTAGATTAGGAAAATCGATAAACATAGACTTCATAGTAGTAAGATCAGGTCATAAGAGATGTGCTTTATTACCGAGAACGCGTTTGCTGTATATATATTCTATTTCATAGTAATGCTAATCCTTCTATGATATATACGGTGGAGTGAAATATTTATAGACGAACGAATTCGCGAAAATCTTTAACGTTAATCTACAAGATTTTCGTACGTATTATTCACGAAACTATTGTTTTAAAAGAAGTTAATTACAAGAATCAGGACGCCATTATGCACGTACAGTACGTACGTACGTACGTGCAATATGTCAAAAAGTATGATATTAACATAAAAAATAGAAATTAAATATTTACTATTATTAGTACACTTCGTTCTCAAAGTCAGAAATGCAGATTTTTATTGATGCAATAAGGTAACCTTAGGTGTGAAGGTTTATAGTTACCGTCCGCGTACGTACGTACGTCGTACGTACAACAATGTAAATACGACAATAAGTTTACTAATAAGTATTTAATGTATCAAAACCACAAAAAATCATATGGTTGAAAAAGTGTTGCACCAGATTTTAATTAGCAAATTATCGGCTTGTGCCCACAGTTATTTATTTCTAAATTAACTTTTTTATTTTAGAGCCAAATTGACAAAAAAGATAAAGATCTGAAAAATGTTTTAGTTCTTTAGTAGTACTGAAATTTGCTAATAAATATTTGTGTATATACATATATATAAGTATATACATTGTATGCAACTTTCACTGCCGTATACTTATTTCATTCGAAGCTAGCGCAAAAAAAGCTATGTAAATAAGTAGAATACATATGTGTATGATTGACCGGGTTTTAAACTTATGTCAATTATGGTTCCTATGTATATGGTTCTTTTAATTCTTTTAACGTTGAGATTATTGGCAAACGTTGCTTCTGCGCCTTTGGCTAGATTTGCCCATGCCAGCGTTCTAGTTAATTCAAATTTATATTTTATTGGCGGTGAATTGCTAAACGGTGGAGGTGCTTCAAATGACTTATTTATTCTTGATTTATCAGTTCCTTTTAACACTTCGTCTCCAAAATGGATAGATCTTTCTAAAAACTCTCCTGTCCCAATTAGTAGTTCTTGGTGTACAGCTTCATTGGGTGGATCTAATAATGATATAATATTTTTAATTGGAGGTTTGATGACCGATCCAAATAATAGTTCACTAGTTTATACATTTAACACTATTGACCACACCTGGTCTTCCCCAAAAGTTTCTGGCATTTCTCCACAAAGACGTAAAGAAATGGCATCCATTGTTAATCCTGATGATGAAAAAATTTATATATTTGGAGGTCTATCTGATGAAACCACTGGTTCATCCAAATCTGTAGAATTTAATGACTTTATTATTTTAGATACTATTCTTTTAACTTGGACTATGAATAAATTTTCATTTGCACCTTCAAAAAGAGCTGGCCATACATTGACTAAGTGGAATGAAATAATTGTTTTGATCGGTGGGAAAGAAATCTACACAAATGGTACTACCAAACTTGTAGATATGAATAAAGTATGTATTTATAAATTTACTTACCTAAAAGTATATTGAAAGATTTAGCATAGATCATTTTACGTATTTTCATATTTATAATTTGCAGATTTGGACATACGATATGAATTCTGGAATATGGTCACTTCATGTAATCTTCTATCCTTTTTATGTTTCAAACTCATATCAACATTTGTTAACAAAAATTTATAATTGTCTAGACGGTCACTGGTGACAAAATTGATTCTCGTATCTTTCATACTGCTGTACTTGG